CGGTCATGAGTTCTAGGAGTGATCGTAGCGTTCTAGGAGTGATCGTAGCTTTGCCTATGTTCTCTGGCACTAGTGCGTTCATAGGGCAATTTGACAAGAGTTTGACTAGGGAAAGTTGCATTACAAAATGATTGCATTAACAATGACAAGAATGACTACATCAGAGCCTAGCAACCTAGCAGGGCAGCTGGTCGACCGCCAGCGCAGCATGGTCGACAGCCTGCCAGCGTTGCGTAGAGGAGCCGCGCCAGCGCTGCAAAAAGGCGGCCTGCCAACAAAGCATGTCGACGACGTGCCAGCGCTGCAGCGAAACGGCCGTCCAGCGTTGCACCCGTAGAAGACAGCAGCGCGCACACTCGCATGTGCTCGCAGGCGATTGGCCCGACGTGCACCGTCACATGTCCGTCGGCTGTTGTCTGCGCCTGATCAGCCACATTGACCTAGGAATACCAGCCCGAGGCCGCCTTCGCCATCGTAGCCTCGACGGCGTTCGCATGCCTCCACAGAATCTCGCCAAGCAGATTATCTGGTCGACCGGGTCGACCACCCGGTGTCCTGGTCGACGACCTCCCTCGTCGACCACAACTCCCGTCAAGGACCACCCTGGTCGACGGACCCCTCCGCCGACCAACACGGTATGCTGCTGCCGTCGAGCTCCCATCCTCGACGGCTCCTCGACATGCCCGCGCAGGACGACGATCACCCTCGTCGACCATACACAGGGCAGGTCGACGAATGTCAGAATCAGCTCTTAGGCTAGGGAGCCATAGCTAGGGTTCGAGAGAAGCTTGAGCTAGGAAGTCGAGAGGAATTGGCCAAAAATGATGTTTCAATATTGAGCAAGGTACAAATAGGAAACAAGGGAGGTGCACCACCAACAGGAAATACCACAAACACTACAGTAACTACAGCAAACAGTTTATATAATAAACATAAGTTTAACACACCCCCTAAACTGTTAGCTGCAGGAACCAGTACAAGGACACCCCCTGAAGCGGTACACCAGGCGCAGCGGAAGAAGGAGAGCGCAAGTGAGGAGGAGGAGGGACCATGAGAGGAGAGGAGGTGGTGGGCGGCTGCTGAAGCTGCTGGCACACGGGCTACTGGAGCAACTGACACACGGGCAACTGGAGTAACTGGCTCCGCGGCTAGACGAGCGGCTGGAGCAACTGACTCACGAGCGACTGGAGCAACGGGCTCACGCCCGATTGGAGATGATGGCTTCACGACGGCCACCCCCCTTCAACCTCCCCCCCCTCCCCAAACCTCCCCTGCACAGCAGCAGAAACAAGGCAGTTAGGGCAGGCACAAGGCAGGGGCGGCTCAGGACAGGGGTGGCTGGAAACGGAGAGGAGAGAGGGGGGGAGGAGGCGACTGGTGCTGCAGATCCCCTCGTGCCACCCCCTTAACCTCCAACCCCCCCCCACCCCCCCCCCCCCCCTCCTAACACAACTACAGGTGTGGCAGGGAGAGAGAGGAGAAGGTGGTGGGCGGCTGGCGCTGCAGAACCCCTCCTGCCACCCCCTCACCCTCCACTATCCGCCACCCCCATCACCCTTCCCCCCACAGGCGCTTGTGCTGGCAGAGGCACGGGCAGGGCGCGGGCTCCACTCCCCTACCACCTCCCCCCCACCTGCCACCTCCCCGCACTGCAGAAGCAGGCGCAGGCAGGAGAGGCGACAGGGGGGAGGGAAAACGGGGCGGGGGGTGGAAACAACCGCCACGAGCGCTGTCCCCCCGACAAATCCTCCCCACCCACCACCCGCCAACTCCCCACACGGCAGACGTAGGCGCGGGAAGAGGGGGCGACGGGCTGGGCACGAACGTGCTGCTCCGCGCACCAGAAAGCGCGGCAGCAGCGGGAGGACGAGAAAGTTTAACAACGAACCCCTTCGTCGACCACGCCAGTAGAGCTCTACCACCGGCTTCCCGTCGTCGGCGGCTTCACAGCGGTCTTCTGCAGGTCGACCAACTCCGTCGACCTGCACGCGTCGAACTCTGCAGATGGTCGACTGCACCTCCCAACCATTACGTCGGCTTTGCCCAAGCGAGTGCGGGGCTAACACTCCATTCTCGTCAACACTCCCCTGCCGTGCTCACACCCCCGAGGCGAGGTTGAACGGCTACCACCGGTACACTGGTTCATCCTGCCTCTGTTTTGTGGTTCCCACCCTGGTGGTGACCATCCCGGAGGTGCCGTGGGACACTTGTGAAATGGGTGGCCGGTTTGCTTGCAAAACCAGCACACGAGACCCGAGCGTCCGGCCCTTCCATCATTGTTCCTTGTTTTCTCTCCACTTGGTGTGTGCTGCCCTCCGTTTGACTTTGTCGCATTCTGGTCACCAATGCTCTCCTTTGCCGGTGAGTTGTCTCGTCGTGCTTGACCAGCCATTCGAGGAGGACGCCGGTCACGGTTGGTTTTGGTAATGAGGTCTTGGTATCGTTGCTCTTGAATCATCATTCGTTGCAGTGTGTAGCTGTCCGTGATGTCATGTAGCATTGCCGAGTGCCTCAGCTCCTCCCAATGCGGCGGCAGCCCGGTAATCAGATTTAAGGTGAATGAATCCTCATCCACCATCTTTCCTGACATTGCCAGCTTGTCCCGAATTGCAGTTGCTCGGTTGATGTATTCCTCCACACTTTCTTGACTCCCCATCTTCAGGTTGTCCAATTGCCTCTGGAGAGACGCCTTTGCCACCGGATCCTTCGCCTGGTAAGTCTCCATTAGGTACTCCCATGCTTCGAATGCAGGGTTGTATGACTCTTGGAATACGTCCAGTTGCAGCGGAATCATTGCGTTCACGCTATGCAGAAGCACAAAAAAAACCAGCGTAGCACGTTGTGAGTAACCTGCTTGCAGAACCTCTTGCCGCTCCATTGCATCTCGCATGTCTCCATTCGCCATTGTAACCGGGTATTGTAGCGTCACGAAAAACTCCCACAGATTTGTCACGCGCACGTTCATGCGAAATCGAAGAGCCCACTCCCGAAAGTTAGTGACGTCGAACGTTTTGTCCACCGCTGCTCCCACCATCTTGCGTGACAACCTGTCGTTGTCTTATCCCGTGTACTCGCGTGCAGACGGGTCGAAGAGCGTAGGCACGGTAGATGGTCGAGGTAGGTGTACCGTGCGTTGTGTGCCTTCACGTTCCACCACTTCCACTTGGTCACGTCGCATAACACCACTTGACTGCATCCCGTGCCCCATGCGCCCAATGCTTCCTGCAGGTACAGCTTCCATTTGAGACCGTGGCGCACGAGGAGGTACGACGTTGTTGCAAAAAAAGGTCAGATATGTCTATGACGGGAACTCCAATGGGATGGGAGTTAGTAGCAAGACGTCGTAGTGGGGGAGCACCAATAGTGTAGGATTCGAATCCCACACCTTCCACGCCCACGAGATCAAATCTGTCACTTTCTTGTCCCATCTCAATCCCATCATCACGTCTCCTTGCATTCAGCCCACTCCCATACTCATCATCCCTTCCCCTTGCTTCCCTTTGCATGGTTGATTGAGGTGCGGGGTGGGAGCTCCCCTCTCCTTGGATGGATGCATCCCTCCCTTAGGATGACTCTCCTCCTTGGGGTACACTTCCCTCCCCTTCACCTTCAATTCCTGCATGCACATTTGAGGGTGGGTTTGATTAGTACGCGGAGTGCTTGATGGAGAGTGTGATGCCCTTGGCATGTTGAACTTTGCCCTCAATGACGGTTGAAGTGCCGGTGGTGCCCTTGCAATCATATTCTCCAGGTGCTCATGTTGAGCCAAGATGGCTTCTTCAAAAGCTTCATATCTAGCATCGACTTCACTATCAAACTGCGCCGTTCCGTTGATCCAGAAAGTCGCCTCTTACTATCCAATATGTCTTGTCCAATGTGAATGATAATAGGTTTCTAACCAAATTTTGGCAGCATGCCCCCTAGAGTAGCTCTGATACCATGCTAGAAAGGCATAGTGCCAACGTAGCGGAAGCTTGATTGTATAACAAAATAGAACTGGAAGTTTGTAATAGAATGGATTGATAATGATAGAATGACAGAGCATGGTATTTATCTAAGCAGATAACCCCTTCAGGATGGCCCCATCCACACCAATAATGCCGCACCAATAATTCTACCCGCCAATAATCCTGACCCTCCAATCATTCTAAACTCCAATAATTATGGCCCTACAATAATTGTACAATTATTGTAGGACCTGGACTCTTAGAGCGTGTTCCTACAGGCCTGTTATCAGGGGACCTGATATCAGACTCGGAGGTCCTCGAGGTTTCGTTATAGAACAGCATTTTGAAGACTGTATCGTGCGAAAAAAATTCGCGCGGGGAATCGAGCACATCGGCGAACCATCTCGAGTCATCACGCTGCAAATCTTTCTGACGCGATATCGATTTCACGTGCAAACCGATCTCTGTTTTGTCAGATGTGGTTTCCTTTTTCAACGCGTGTGGCAGTCGCCAGCAATTTGTTCACAAAAGACGGAACGAGTCAGTTGAGTAATGTTCACACGTTCCGTTTCAAACCTAAATCCACCGAAACTATTTTAGGGCAGAACAAAAACCAATCATCCAAGCGTTTTTACTCGCACTCCTCAAGCCACGCGAAAACCACAAATTAAAAGTCGTATTAAGCCGAGATGTAAGTGGTTTGTGCGAGTCTGACTAGAGGTTGGCCTGATAACAGGCCGTAGGAACACGCTCTTATAAGGAGTACTACAGTAACATTTAACAGCATAAGTATTTTGTTCTGTTTTGTATTTCCAACATTAAAATCATTATAGGCAAAAGGGGGGTCCTCACACTTTTGGTCAAAATAAGAGTCCCAGCCAGTATCAGCCACTAAGTCCCGGGGGTCCTTATTTCGGGGGGGTCCTCTATCCGGGAGAATACGGTACTGGTGGTAGTTTACATGTGTAGAAGCTTGCATTCTTCCATACATAAAAAAACAAAATTTACCTGACCCGTATGTGATACACCAGCAACAAAACATATCTTAAACGCTCACGAAAACATGGATTCTGGAAGCAGCCCTGACAACACAAACACGCCAATCACACCAAACCCCTCGGGAGCTCCATTCCCACCACCGGGAACCACAGTCACTGAAATCTCCACCCTCCCTCTCGGCACTATCCCCGGCAACACCTGCCCTCCCACAACCCTTGTAGGTGACCTCCACGCCTCTGAGTTCAACAATATCGGTCCAATCGCCCCACCTTCCCCCCCACCTTTCCCACCCTCACCCCCCCACGCTACACGCACAAGCCCAGGCCCGAGGTCCTGAGCCTTCAAGAACAGGAACGCCAGCCTTCCTCCGGCTCGTAGATTCACATTAATTGCAAAAGTTACTGTAGCGTTGGGGACATGCGACATAAAAGCTTCTTTGTCGCGCGAGAGCGGGTACAGCACCCACCCGGGCTGGCGGGATTTCATGGAGACCTGCCCGCTGATAGCTTTGAGCTTGGGGCAGCGGTGCCTCTGCCGGTAGTCCCCCCAATTGGTGGTGAAGCACTGCCCTCGCTCTGGCTTCATGTGAGTCCACGCCTGATCTTGCTGCCCACTCTGCTGATTCTGCTGTTGACCGGGTTGACCCTGCTCTCTCCGTTGCTCCTCTTCGAGGAATTGCTGGATGTCTTGAGGGGTGAGAGCCAGCAGAGAGGACACCAGATGCCGTACCACCACTGCCGCTGCCAGCTCGTGCCCAAACTCTACCATGTGCACCCGGTCGGCACCCAGCACAGTCTCCGCAGATACTTCCAAAAGCGGCCGCCCGACCACCTCCGATTCCCCGGCGTCAGCGTTACCAGCAGCAGCAGCGGCAGCAGCCGCGGCGGCGGCAGCAGCAGCAGGTGTTTGGCCAGGAGGGTACAGCGACCCTAGCTCATGACCCGAGCAGCCTACTAGCCTGTTCACTCCCAGACTTGCTAGCATTTCTTCCGCTACTCCCTCCCCTCCTCCTCCTACCGCCTCTCCACCATCCCCACCGAATCCCACCGCTCCCCACCCCTCCCTGGCGTAGCACGCGTGCACACAGGCAGTGCAGGGCAGGGAGAATGGCTTGTCTCCTGACGGGGGGCACCTGTCCTTGGGAAGCGTGCACTCCCTCTCACACACCCCTGCAACCAGCCGCACCCAAGCCGACCGCACTCCACCTCTACTCCCACTCCCCACACCACCACCCGCAGCAGCAGCAGCAGAACCATTCCCATAGCTCCCTTCGATATCGTCACACCGAGGAACGGACGCGGGGCGCCAGAACGGAGTGAGCGCGCGGGCCATACTGAGCGTGGGCACGCCAGCAGCGGCAGCAGCGGCGGCAGCATAGTTAGAGGAGGAGGCCGTGGGGATGGGGTCGCACGAGGCAGAGCCTCTGGCGGGGCCGCTGTGGTGGGAGAAGGTGGAGGCGCAGCCGAAGAGGTTGAGGTTGAGGAGAGCCGGGTGGGAGGGCCACAAGGCCAGCTGGCGCAGCAGGAGAGTGGAGTCCCACGCCTCTCCCACATTGATGTTGAACTCGGTTACTACTATGCCTGGTGTTGGATTGGAAGGGAGAGGATTGGGAAGGAGAGGGATGGGTGGGGGGAGGGACGAGAGCGTTGGGGGCAGCAGCAGAGAGGAATCCCATGTCTCGCCCATATTGATGTTGAACTCCGTGATCACTATGTCTGGGTGGGGGTGGTGGGGGCCAAGGGTGGGAGAGGGGTGGAAAAAGAGGGATGGAAGTGTCAGAACCCCAGTCACTGGGCCACTGGGATAAAATGGTTTGTTAAGTTGCGGGTCAGTGCGCCCGTAACCCCCCAGGCTAGCAAGCCTGTAACCCTTCACTATGATCAATCGGACATCCCTAGTGTTGGTCTTCTGACACCCTCCCTCACAGGGATGCCCTAGGACACGGCACAGCGCCAGCGCAAGAATGTGCACACATGGGGATTCAAATCCGAAACCTTCGCTCTGATACCATATTAGAATCCCAGTCACTAGACCACTGGGGGAAAGAGCTCGTTAAGTAGCGGGTCAGTGCGGAAGTAACCCCCAAGGCTAGCATGATCAATCGGGCATCCCCAATGTTGGTCTTCTGACAGGAAGGAGCACAGGAATTGGGATTTCTTGTAGAAGAGAGTGGCATGGCCGCTGTGGTGGGAGAAGGTGGAGGAGGATCCAAAGAGGTTGAGGTTTAGCAGCGTGGTAACGGCAGAAATACTCACCTGGGGAATCTCCCAGGAACGATGGGAGGCTCAAGGCGGGGCAGATGGCCCCGCAGGCGCGCACAGCAGAGTTGGTGACGAAGTTGCGGAGGTGGGGGAAGGCCGTGACTGAGAAGGGCAGGAGGAGGTCCGGCCAGGGGTGACGCACTCTGCAAGAAGGGCAGGAAAGGGGCGATAGGAGGAAGGAACGTATGCGGATGGTGAGAGAGGGAGCAAGTGTAAGGCTGTGACGGAGAAGGGCAGTAGGTGTTAAAATATATATTGTGTAGCATGCCAACACATGTGACTGTACACCAATTGTGGTGTACAGTTGGGTTGGGACTACACCCAACTTTGGGTGTAGTCTTGCACTTTGGGGTGCCAATCCACCCAATTGTGGTGGAGCCCCCAAATGCAACCCTCTTGACTTGTGGGTACCTCACTTCCCACAATTGAGGTTACCCCAAGCCAAGTGGGCCTAGGGTTGCCTCACTTCTACAAAGTGTGGGCAACCCAACCCACTTGACCTATGGTTCCCTCACTTCCCCAAGTGAGGTCAACCCAACCTATGGTCACTTTCATCCTTCCCTTCCAACCTTCCCTTCCAACTATGTATGCTAGGTTGTTCCTCTAATCTAATGACTTGTTCAATTTGCTACTTTCACATGGTATAGAGCTACTTGTTCCTAGGCCTTACCTCTCCCTCCCTTCAGTTTTTTTTTCCCATGGGCCCACCCCACAGCTACAAACCCTTTCCTACGCGTGGCTCAACTAGCCATCACTAGCATACTCTCGCCGCGACCTACGCCGTCGCCGCCGTTCCCCCCCCCTCCCGCCGAGATTACGCCTTCCTCGCCTGCGGATTCCACCGCCGCGAGCGCAACGCCGCTGTCCCCTCCTCCCCCCCGCCGCGACCCCCTGTCGCCGCCTCCCCTTCTCGCCGCCGCGCCTGATTCGGCGCCGCCTGCGCATCCTGCCGCCGCGACGCCTCGTCGCCGCCTGCCCGCTGCCCGTCCCTCCGCCGCGACGTCACGTCGCCGCGTTCCCGCCGCCGCGCCTGCTACGGCGCCGCCTGCGCATCCTGCCGCCGCGACGCCTCGTCGCCGCCTGCCCGTCCCCACCCCCCCCCCCCCCTCCCCCCCCCCCCGCCGCGATTTCGCATTGCCGCCTCCCCTCCCACCGCCGCACCTGCTTCCGCGTCACCCACGCATCTCGCTGCCCCTTCTGCATCGCCACCCTCCCGCAATTTCCCCCGCCGCAACTGCAACATCGTCGCCCCGCGGTTCCCGTTAACGCCACTGCGCCGCCGCCGCCCTACCGCCGCGACTGCTTCGGCGCCGCCTGCCCATCCTCCACCGCGACCGCGCCATCCCCGCCCACACTTCCTGCCGCCGTGACTGCCCCGTCGCCGCCTGCAGATTCAGCCGCAACTGCACCCTCCCTTCCTCCTCTCCCTACTCCTCTCCCCCCCCCTCCCCCTCCCCCTGCGCCCCTCGTTGCCGCGGCCTGCCTGCCGCCGCCGTCCCTCGTTTCGCCGCCGCGGCCCTTCCGCCGTCGCCTGCGCCCCTCGTCGTCGCGGCCTGCTCGCCGCCGCCGCCCCCGACTTTGCCACCGCCTCCCCTTCCCGCCGCCGCACGTTCGCACAGCCGCCTGCGCCCTTGTCACCGTCGCTCCCTGCACCTTGAACGCCTCTGCCCTCCACCGCTGTCTCCCTCCTTTACCCCCCCCCCCCCCCCCCCTCCCTCCTCCTACCAGCGGCAGCAGCAGCGGCAGCAGGGGAAGTGCAGCAGCCTCCGCAGCAGCAACTTCACCCTTGGCCGCCGCGGGTCCACCCGCCGTCGCCCATCATGACTGCTACCCCCCCTGCCCCTCTCCCCCCTCCTCACTGGAGCAGTGTTACTCCTCGCCCCTCCCTTCTCAACACTCCGACCCTCCACTCCTCCCCCCCCCCTTATCTCCGCCTGCTCACCCCCTCCCCCCCTCCCCATCTGCGGCGTTTCCAGCAGCTCCAGCATCAGCAGCAGCAGGACTTCCAGCAGCGGCAGCAACCACAATTTCTCCAGCCGCACCCCCCACATCTCCTCCAGCCGCGGCAATCGCAGCAGCAGCAGTTCTTCCAACACCAACAGCAGCCGCAATCTCTCCAGCCTCACCCGCCACAGTTTCTCCATCCCCAGCAGCAGCAGTCCTTCCAGCCGCAGCAGCGGCAGTCCTTCCAGCAGCAGCAGCTGCCACAGTTCCTTCCACCGCAGCAGCAGCAGTCCTTCCTGCAGCAGCAGCAGCCACAGTCTCTCCAGCCGCAGCAGCAGCAGTGCTTCCAGCAGCAGCAGCTGCCACAGTTCCTTCCGCCGCAGCAGCAGCAGTCCTTCCAGCAGCAGCGGCAGCCACAGTTTCTTCAGCCGCAGCAGCAGCAGTGCTTCCAGCAGCAGCACCAGCCACAGTTCTCTCCATCCGCAGCAGCAGCAGTGCTTCCAGCAGCAGCAGCCCCCACAATCTCTCCAGCCGCAGCAACCGCGGCAGCATCGGCGGTGCTTCCAGCAGCAGCAGCAGCCCAATCTCTCCAGCCGCAACCGTCACAGTCTCTCCCACCGCGGCAGCCGCAGCAGCAACAGTACTTACAGCAGCAGCACCCACCGCTCTCTCCCTCTTCTATCCATGAAACAACTCTCCAGTACTCTGTGTTCCCTCCCTCTCCTTCCCCCCCCACCCTGGACTTTGTCCTTGACAGTGGGGCCACCGAAACCGCACTAAAAGACGCTGGCACCCTCACCCCCCTTCCACTTCCCACCCAGGTTCATGGTGCCGACTCCAGCTTTTCCATCCCCTGCACTCACCTCTCCACCCTTCCTTGCACCGCCTTCCCATCCGGTACAGTCACCGGTCTCCACATCCCTACCCTTCGCAATAACCTCCTCTCCCACCGTGAACTCCAAGGCGTTGGCATTACCGCCATATACCCTAGCTTTGCTTCCTACTGCGATCTCTACCACACCGCCTCTGGTCGTTTCCTCCTGCGCATTCCCCTTTGCCCTCGCACTCGCCTTTACACGCTCCGCACACCCCGTCCCTCCTTTTGTCACGTCACCACTCGTGCTGGTACTTCCACCGGTCCCCTTCTCCCTCCCCCTCCCCCTCCTCTTCCCCCTCACCCTCCCCCTCCCCTTCTCCCTCTCCCTCCGATATCCTCCTCCTCTACTCCATCCGCCTCCTCCTCCCCCCCCAACTTTTCCCCCACCCCATCCCCCTCCTCCTCTACTGCCCTCTCCCATCCTGCGGTGCTCCTACATCACAGACTCGGCCATCCCAACTTCGCCGCACTTCGCTCCACCGTCACCTCTCGCCTCCTTAACAGCCTTCCTCCCACCTTACCTCCCCTCCCCTCCTCCCCTGCTCCCCCATGCCCATCATGCATTCATGGCAAGCTCAAACAGTTCCCCCATCACAGTCACCCCACCTTCGCTCCCGCCCCCATTGACCTTGTTCACATGGATCTCTGGGGCCCTTATCCCATCCGCTCTCGTCAGGGGCACAGGTACATGCTCGTGCTCGTCGACGACCACAGTCGGTACTCCACCGTCTTCTTTCTTCACACGAAAGACCAGGTGCCGGCTGTGGTCATCAACTGGGCTGAGCAGTGCCGCAACCACTTCAAACGTCCCATAGGCCGCCTTCACTCTGACGGTGGGGGTGAGTTCATCAATCATACTCTCTCCACTTACTGCAAAACATACGGCATTCAGCAGACCTCCACCCTTCCCCACTCCCCTCAGCAAAACGGCATCGCTGAGAGTCGCATCCGTGAGATCACCAAGATTGCGCGCTGCCTCATTGCTCACGCCTCCACCCCTCCCTCCCTCTGGAGCTATGCTCTCATTCATGCCGCCCTCCTCCTCAATCTCCGCTCCCACCCTCAGCATCCCTCCTCCTCCCCCACAGAACTCTGGTCCAAGGCCAAGCCTGACGCCGCAGGCCTTCGTGTTTGGGGCTGCAAGGCGTTCGTCCTCATTCCACCGGCCGACCGCTCCCGCGCTCCGGCTTGGGTGGATCCGGTTCCCACCCGGGATGGTCCGGACCCCCACCCGACCCGGGTGGATCCGGTTCCACCAGGGTTGGGGTCCGGACCACCATCCGGGCTGGGTGGATTCCCCTCGGTGGGGGTTTTTCAATTCCCCCAAATGATGGTAACCCAACGTTATCCGAGTGATTGGCCTAGGAATAATCCATGAGTACTTCTTCCAACAGTCTTTGTCTCCCTAATGCCCCGGTAAGATTAGTTTTGAGCCCCGTATCAAGGTAACCCAACGTGATCCCAGTGATTGGTCCACGAGCACGGTATGGTAGCGTTG